CGGGAAATAAGTTATCTCAAACGGTATAAGGCTTCCAGCCTCGACGGGTTGTCCCCATCGGTTTTCAAGGATGGAGGTTCACTCTTGATGTTGGAGTTAACAAAACTCCTGGGCTCAGTGAGGGAGAGAGAAGAGGTTCCAACTGAATGGTGTGAGTCGGTAATCATACCGATTTACAAGAAAGGTGATATATCCTCTTGTGAAAACCACAGAGGAATTAGTTTAGTCAACATTGCCTCTAAACTCCTCACTAACAGCCCACTCCGTCGATTGTCTGCCGCAGGTGAACGGTGCACGCGTGAGAACCAGGCTGGTTTCAGNTTGTTGGCCGATCTGGTAGTGTGCGGACATTGAGTGCAGCTAAGTGAAAAGCGGATTTTAGTTTCAAAAATCTGTCAGTCTCTGGGTGATTGCCCCTATTAGTTGAACGCTGAGTGATATGCGATGGGTCTCGTAAACAGGAGGCACCTGGGATTATTGGGGATTGAGAAGGACTAGACAGATGGGAAAGATGGGTTTCGAAATGGGTACCTAAGACGTTAGGATATGACATACTTCGCGGTTGCCCACACCGACGAAGGGGCTTTTCTTTGAGAACCCTCACCGGAGCCTTTGACTCAAAAGTTTGACCCTCAAGGCAACGGGAAGTAAATGTTGGTATTCCTGTCACAAGTCTAAAGGAACTGCTACTGCATTGCACACGTAACATTCAGTTTCCATTGACCGTTACTATCCGTTATCAAATGGAAGGAGTTGCCATGGGGTCCCCACTAGGGTCTTTGTTATCTGAAATGTTTGTGACGAAGCTAGAAAAGACCACACTGAGCTTGACGCTTAAGGGATTAGCACACTACGGTAGATATATGGAGGATATCTTCTGTGACCGCAAGCATAGCATACCACCACGGACGTTGGAATCACTTGACAACATACATCATGCACAGGACTACACCGTAGAGGTTCAAACGAACAATATATTGGCCTCTCTGGATGTAGCCATGTCCAGAATAAAAAGATAGATCAGTGAGAAGACAAATACACAGAAAGAAAACATGGAATACATCAACTTCTATGATTTCTTTTCTGTCAAATACAAATGCAATCCAGTCCGGTATCTGGTCTTCAGAGCTAGACAAAAGAGAATCTGGTAACCGCCAAGGCAAGGACAGATACCAGGCCTTACGCACAAAATATAATATAATGTATATAATATAATAATATTTTTAATATATATATTTATATTCGATCATAAACGACTTTCACTGTCTCCATTTGGAGTACAGTGTTGAATAGTGAAACAGTATGCAAGGAAAACGTCGTCTTTCCTTACAAATCCAGGTTTTCTATTATGTCTACAAGCTGGTAACGGTCTCGCGGACTGCTTGGCGAAGCTACAACGTTCGCGTTCTAGTAGTTCGAACAACCACTTTGCCGTTATGTGATATAGTGAATTCACCATTGTCATGCGAGATTTGTTCAGTAGGCACATCAAGTGAATAACGACGCATTCCGGAAAAGGAATGCCATGTGTGTGTCCCCAAGAAAGTTGAACATATGAATTCCGTTTAAGGGAGACCCACACACNACCGAAAGTTCAGTACAGTCGATGTTAGCGGCGGTTGATTCCACTTTTCCCACTGCCAAACAGATCGGTGTTTTCTACATCACCGGTGATACGAATACAAGCGAAAGACAAAATGCCAAAACCGACATCGTGTTCGTTCGTTCGGATTTTTGTATCAGCCCGTTAAGCAGCAACAACCCCGATGGGTAAATCAGGGTGAAAGCGGGCTGTATCTCAAGCACGATCGTGGGTCATTTCGTAGTCACTGGAGAAAGTTTTCGATGTTGTTTATCGCATCCCACTCAGTCGATCGAAAACAGCCCAAGTTTGGATACTAGCCATGACCGAGGCAATCGCTGCTCGTTACTACGTCCTCGGCTCGTCGGTTTATCTCCCAGAGAGATTTCAGCTTGTTTTTAGATCCGCTTTGCTATTCAAACCAGGAAGAGTCCGCGTTCTTTTATCAGTTCTCGGGGTAACGGCCTATTGGTCTGTTCTTTGACTTCCCATAATCCGCCGTCTCTGCCAGAATACAGCAGTGTTTGTTATCCGTAAGACGCAGTCTATAGTGTCACTTGAATAAAAACTTGCCAATTTTGTAAATCATACCTATGCATCTTAGTCTCCTTGCTTTGCGTCTTCTTTAACAAAAACAAAACTTTCCCCTTCCTCCAAAAACCAAATGCTTACGGTTGATAGGGTTACAAAACTGGTGCTTTACGGACTATGATGGCAACCCGGATATCTGCATGATAAAATGATCTATTCTTTGCATAATCTGTGTATTGTATTCCTCTCTCTCTCCGTCCCGCATGTTATTCATTCATCTCCTCGCGCACACCTTTCCTGTGCTAATGCTCACGGATCATCATCAATTAGTCGTGATAATCGTGAATTTCAATTCTTGCACGGCATCACCCCACCATTGAAGAATGTTCTACGTCGTCGCTTTNCGCAAATCCCGACGAAAACGTTTAATCGATATGCCAAAAATAGAGAAAGAGGTCAAGCAGTTGCTTCGCGCCGATCTGGAAGCAGCTGCCGTCAAGTGAGTCCTTGTTTTGTCACACGAAGCTATGCCGTTGCCTTTCTGTGTGTTTGCGTTATTTGTATGAATTCCCTTGGAACGAGATTGATTGCAGAGATAGACCGGGTTTCCTGCGTCAGATTTTCCGCAAAATAAGATCATTGGAGAGTGGGGTTGCACTTCAATTGCTATTCAGTAGTTAATCAAACTACATTTAAAAAAGTTGAGAACTATCCAGCTGGGCTTGTTTTCGGTAACTTCACCCTTTTGTTAATTAAATATTTAAGAGGTTATCAAGTTTGTTCTTTCGAATAACACTGAACGCATCGACTGCCGCATTCTTCTTCGATACTATTATTCATTAATTTCTTCCAACGTGAATTTATTGTCTTCTCCGGTTTTGTCATGAACCCTTAATTCTGATAGACACTTCAGTTTTCGGTTGCCTCAATTTCGTTTGATGTTCTCTCCCTGATCAAGTCCATATGATGAATGGATTAATGAATTGAAACAATTGAAAACTACACGGGAAACTCTACATTTACCTTTAAGTTCATCCCTGTATTTTTGTGTGTCTATCCCGACGGCGACAAAAAGAAGACCGAGTAGTTAGTTACTTGTACTCGTGTTCATTCCATCGGGATTCACCAACTCCGTGGGCGGCGTATTGTTCTTTTCTGTAAATAAGCAAAAGCATTTTTCAACAGTACTGTAGTCATGCGCTCGAGGTATTGGCATTCGACTACTCGGGGTTAAATATTTTTGGTCCCAGTCCGACAGTTTATGGTCAGAATCCTGCTCGGGACCAGGTGTACCTGCTACTGACAAGGATGTAACATCTGCCCTATTTACTTTATCGTCGCCTACACAAATTATCGCATTAATAAAAAGCCAAACAATCTTGTCGGTGCATATTATGCACACAATAGTTATTGCAAACAATTCTCTGCCCTATTTTTCACTTTATTCCTTCTCTGTGGTTCCCCGTTCCAATTACAAAGGTGCATCTCGCAGTCAAACTTTCGGACCCTTCAAGTTTTCATGATATATCTACTTTTGGGTGAAGCATAATGACCAACTCCAGGTAGCAATTATCAACAACATCACTGTACAGCGTAATACAGTGAACCGAACTTCACTGATCTCTGTCAAACTCATATTGCATACAACGTAAGTGAAAATGTGTAAAGAGGATAGGGATTGGACCTATTTATAGGGACGGAAAAAAAGCGAACTTCTATAGTCAACGCGCAGAGTACACGGACCAACTGTGCATACATACACACTATTTCAAGCATTCTGGTTTGATAAGAAGTGACAACATGATCGCCATTGCTGTCGGTCCGCAACCATGACCTTCATTGTCTCCAACCATGAAGTTGCGGAGTCTTTTGGACCCAAACACGAAATATGTTTATTATATTTCACACTTATTTGAGCTCCGACTATGTGCCAAACAAATCGTGGTACAATAATCTTTATAAAAAGAAAAAAGTTCCACGATTTGCAAGTGGGTAGAATACTGTCAGGTTGCCCAGGCCAAGGCAAGTGAATTTTCTTGGATAATCCACAATCGGAGCCTTCGACTAATCAAAACCTGACCCGCAAGGCATCGGGTTGGTGTGCAAAAACCGCAATCCATTGCTAGCCGGTGCCCAGTTCATTGGATCATACGCCCTTTGGACGGGGTCAAACGTCCAAGGTACCCAATCGAACCGGTGACCACTGCCACGACCGGAAAGGCGTGGGTGTGGTTCGTACGCCTCCTGTTGGTTTGGTTGGAATCAGGGTTTTTGGACAACTCCCCTAGGTGAACTGCCAGCGGTCCACCAACCCGGTTATAGCCTTGGATGTCGGCTCATCGTCCTCTCACTTTGGTGAGGAGACACCTGCGCCACGAGAAGGCAGTGAGTAGGGCTTCCTCAGTAGAGGCTATCGAGACGCTTGGTTATATGGGAGCATTTCGCGAGGTGCAAGGAAAGGGTGATCAGCCGCAACCCTAGACACCCACCCGCGACCATACGAGGCTTTTTGAGGCAACGCGGAAGACGAGAGACACATACCCTAGCTAATCGCTCATTGTATTTTCTTCATGCCTCCTCTCCACGTTATCTGCTGACCTCCACATGGCTTCCTCCAGTCTGCAACAGCCACTGAGAATAAGGCGCGCTGCGGTAGGCGACCGTCGGACATACGCAAAACGTGTCCTGATTAACGGAGTCTATTGATCTCGATTCGATGCGATAGCGAGTTCTTATTCGATGCACTCTCAAACACCCGACGACTGATTTCTGGGTTACTCAGCCGCTCACTCCATCCCACTTGGGCCAGACTACGTAAGCATCGATTGTCGAAAACCACTAGGCGACGGATGTCTTCTACCCACAAATTCAAGGTCTCACAACCGTAAAGCAGAACTGATCGTACAGTGGCACAGTATACGCGACTTTTCAGGATAATATCTTTGGTATGGAATTTTCCACCCTTACTTCCTAATAAGAATTATGTTATTGTAACAACCGGAGTGTGGCGTTTTCCTGGGTACAACTCAAATGAAACAAAGGTGTGATGTAGGGTAAACGATCGTCTTGAAGACCTTGACCTACTTTGCTATGAGATTTGACAACACCTTGCAGGTAAATAGTCATTTCCGTTTAAGGTCGATCCCAAGTTTCTCTTTCGAGTCGTGATTTTTGTTCGCACACATTGATTGTTCAGTCATTTCACATTGAAGTTTGCTGTTGTTTCATCAGAAGGGTCCGTTTTCTCGCGGGATAATGGGAACCTGATTGATGAACATAAACCATTTCAAATAAAGAGCTCAGTTGCACTTGTGAATACGTTTAATCGGAACGGTCAATACACTGCCACTTCAATCGTAAATAAAATGGCGAATCGAACTCGGTTTTTTTTTAATATTCAATGATTAGTAGGGATATAAAATGTTTAGGAAGGTAAGAAATTATTGTTATGGTTCCATACGTTCAAGTTTCAACTGCGTTATGCTGTTCCTGATTCAATTATCCTATCTCTTACGAGCCATGGGTTTGTTAAACTGTGCATGAAACTACTATATGTTCTTAAGGTTAATCGGGTGCGGGTTAGTTTGACCCGATTGGCGATTGGGGTTAGGGAATTTCCCCATTTTTGCAGTTGTTAAATCATGCTTATACTTTCGTAGTTTCACCCATCCACTGTGTCCCATTTCAGCTTTTTCTCATCATTTAAGTAAATTGTAACGTTTTGCGAATCAAGTTAACGGGTGCGGAATGGAGAAGACTCGGAGTCGGAATTGTACGCTTTAGTCAACTAATAATTCCTTTACATGAGCTGTAATAGAAAAAAGCTTTATGTAATACACAATAGAAAGGTGTATAAACAAGAGAACCAGAATATAACATAACTGTTTTTCAAACTATCCATCGGAATATTGTTAAATGTAACGCACATCCGTTGAATTTCATTCAGCTGCGTGCTTCTGCTAACAAGGACAACCACAGTAAATACACAGGTCGTCAATTCGCACCGGGTTAATTGATTTCTGGTTTTAGTTTACTGCAGTACTGCGTGTAGTAATTATAGCATTAAGGTCATCATCGGCCTTTGGGGGGATCACGTCTTTGAATCCCGCCACTGCTACCCATCTTTGCTATTTCTGCCTTCAGACAGTCATTGATTGACCGTTCTTCCGCTCCTGAAAATTGAATGTTCCATGGGTTTTATGGATCTCGAACGATCGTGTACCCCTAACTTGCTTCTGACCCGCGAAGAGTGGACAAAAACATTTGATCACGGTGATGCAGTGGGCGTAGTGTATCTGAACTTCTCCAGGGCATTTGATCGAATGAACCACAAAATACTGCTGCGGAAACTACATAATTATGGATTTGTACTGGGTTGGACTGGAGAATTTCTTCGACAACACACCTGGGCAGTTCGGGTAGTTAGGTCACTATCTGATCATATCAGCGTAGTCCGGGGAGTTCCACAGGGATCCATGCTTGGCCCTCAACTTTTGTTAGTTTTCATAAACGATCCAACGGACATTCTGGGGTCACAAACGTTAGTGTTTGCATACGATGCAAAAATATGGAAAAGTGATAAAACCTTTTTCAAATAATTTTACTTCCTTTTATTTAAAAAACAATGATAAAATTTTCAGGAAGGGGGAAGCGGCCAATCAAAAGGCTGCCATGGGGAAAGTCAAGCGGTGGTGGTGAGATTCGAACACACATTTGGTGACGGTACCACCGGGCCACCACCACCCAGGTGGAGGATTCACTGGCACTTCAGAGAAAACTTAGTGCTGCGTATCAATGGTCGATCGAAATTGATGTTGAATTCAATGCATTGGAATGTACGGTCGTATCTCTTCGCCACGAAACTCGATTTCCGTACTTCCTGGGATATCAACAACTTCCGTATGCCTCGAATGAGAAGGATCTCGGTGTCATTGTTTAAGACGATCTTAGTTATTCTTTAAACTGCTCCAGGGTGTCGTCCAGCGCTGCAAGACATGTCTGTTTGCTAAAGCGAGTATTTTTGTAAATTCTGACTTAGGTTGTTCCCACGTTTTTTATTAGCGTACATTCGACCCCACATAGAGGATGCCATTCAAGAGTAGGATCCATGGCTGCAACGCGACAGTTAGACTCTGGGACACCCACAAAGAATGGTCACCAAAATGGTCAAGAGGCTGCATTACAAGACTTATGTGGAAAGACTGGAATCATTGGGGTTATGCTCCACACAGACTTTGACGAGACATGATTTTTGGGCTATCTAATAATGCGGAACCCTGATCACATGGAAAGTGGATTTAAGTCATTTTAGTAATCTTTCCATTTTCATAAATTTGGTTTACAATGAATCCAGAATTCAGTCTCGAGAGATAGACTCTTCAGGGGATGTGAAGTGACAAGAGAGGATGAAGTTTGAACAGGTGAACTGCGGAACTATAGACTGACCACCGATGCCGCTTGCCCGTCCTACATGGTGGTTTATCCTTTTATCACTCACGGAATATTGTTCTAACCAATCCGTTGNGGTTCAGTGCCCTGAACTAATCTGATGTTATGTTCGCCCGCTTTAACCCTAGTGGATCATAATCATAATTGCTTCACTTATGGCCACTGTCCAATACATAATCTTAGAGAGCAAGGGGCGGGCTTAGTTTACTATATCAAATGTAACCATTGGAATTCCCTAGTAATCGATTGCTTTATGTATAACTTTTTAGTGAACCCTACCTCTTTTTATCCCATTTTCATAGATCTCCACCTCATTTATTCCATTTATGCACTCGGTTTTTTTTCTTTATAAGTTCACAATGGGACAAAAAGCACTATTCCGAAATGCTAAGCTACTGTTCCCCTCCTCTCCTTCTCTGCTCTCCGATTCGCATGCGAATTCAGGTGGGAAGTGATTTGGTCCGATCCACCGAATAGTAGTACTGCTTCACGGTCGAATCAGTCGGGTGATCGACAGAATGATGATTCCACCCGGGCCGTCGGTTCCGGTGGTCTGGCGAGACAGGCGACCGCGGATGATGAACTGGAGGAAGAAGACGAAGAAGGTGACTTATCCTCGCCCGTGTTTGAGCAAAAAATTTAGCCACTGTTTTGTGCGTTCCACCCCCACCCTCGTTTCACACATGATTAACCGGACAGTTCGTAAACGATTCGAACAAGGAGCACAGGTTCTAGCTCCGGTTGATTTTACCACAGAAAAGCCTCACGTATGATATGCTACTCTAAGGTGACCAGCAGAAGGATACACCAGCGACCTATGTATGCACCGTTTGGAAGCAAATCGGATCTAACTGTAACTCAGTGCACTATTAGCAAGCTTGGAATTTTTTACAGAATGCTATCTGTTACTAGGTGAATCAGGAAATCTCGGAGTAAATTTTCAGAGATTTTCTCCTATTGAGATCGGATGGGATCTTTCATGGGTATGTTCGACACCAATTTTTGCGATGCAGGCACGTTTGGAATACATACCTCTATGAATACACACTTCTTGATTGCATTTGAAACACTTTCAGTGTTTCTTCGATTAACAAAATCGTGATGCATTACACACTACCAACGGATGAGCGTAAGATTCCAACCAGCGATCTGCGTACGAGTCTGTCTAACTAATCGATCGTATTTCTAAAATTACCTGTGTCAGTTTGAATTACATTACACATCATTCAGTTAAACCGCGGGATTTCAAAATATCATTGCTGTATTTACAGAGGTAACTTTTTAACAGTGTATACTTTTAGTTTTTACACGGGAATCGCATAATTCATGGAGCGAGTTCCCAGGATGTGTATTAGAAAACAGTCATAATCTTCCAAGAGATCCTTGGATAGCAATAGTGTTTGCGACGATGAGCAGCTGATCGATATGCCTTGTGTTGCACTTAGTACTATTTTGAAACTAGCCAATCTCTTTCGAAGTGATCATACAGTTTGTTCAATACAGATCTGGCTACTGTGGTTTTCTTTAAATCGATCAGCTTTCGATAGTCACACTTTTCTTGTTATTTCACAGTAACTTCGTCCAGTGTCAAATAACCGAGAACGTTATAATACCAATCGTCTTTCATACACACGCCTAAGTAAACTGACCGACCAACTCTTGTTTTGTTTATTGTTTACCTTTCCGCACACTCTTTTTTCTATTCCCCTTTAGCCACACGTGTGTTCCCGGTCGATCGTCGAGATGTGTTTGGTGACTTGAGCAGCAGTAGCGCGGCCTCAATGGACAGTAGTAATCTGAGTGAGGATGATGCGGGTGACTTGGACGGGAAGGCCCCGACCGAAATGCGGGATCACGGTGAACCCGGTTCCACTCAGCAGGTTAGCGAATTCACACTGATCCAAATCCAAAGTTATGTTAAATTTGCATTCGAAACTTGAATCCGTTTCGGTTTTGTGGTCGTTTTAGGTGGATGGTTTAAATTACACCATACATTTTTATTGTTTCTGTTGCACTGTGGCTTTCTTACTTTGAAGGTTTCCCGCCTGGTTAGGTATCCTCCAGTATATATATATATATATATATATATATAACGTCTGAGTGCTCCACAGATCGTGGTACAATAAGTTCCACGATTTGCAAGTGAGTAGAATACTGTCAGGTTGCCCAGGCCAAGGCAAGTGAATTTTCTTGGATAATCCACAATCGGAGCCTTCGACTAATCAAAACCTGACCCGCAAGGCATCGGGTTGGTGTGCAAAAACCGCAATCCATTGCTAGCCGGTGCCCAGTTCATTGGATCATACGCCCTTTGGACGGGGTCAAACGTCCAAGGTACCCAATCGAACCGGTGACCACTGCCACGACCGGAAAGGCGTGGGTGTGGTTCGTACGCCTCCTGTTGGTTTGGTTGGAATCAGGGTTTTTGGACAACTCCCCTAGGTGAACTGCCAGCGGTCCACCAACCCGGTTATAGCCTTGGATGTCGGCTCATCGTCCTCTCACTTTGGTGAGGAGACACCTGCGCCACGAGAAGGCAGTGAGTAGGGCTTCCTCAGTAGGGGCTATCTAGACGCTTGGTTATATGGGAGCATTTCGCGAGGGGCAAGGAAAGGGTGATCAGCCGCAACCCTAGACACCGACTCCCGAACATATTGAGGATTTCGGAGCAGGCCAACCCCTGTAAATTCATAGATACGGGGTCCGAATCCAGTTTCCACATTTCAAATATATGTAACACGCACTGTTGATGAGTCCAACAGGAACGAAACAACTTTCAAGTGTTCTTTGTTAGTCATCACGCATTTTTCGACAAGTGTATAACCTTTCTTTGTTACAGATCCATTGATTTGTGCGACGTAACTCGTCAGAGCGAATAACTTTGATAAACCTCACATTTTCCCATTTGCTTATTCCATTGCCATTGGTTATTGTATCTTATCTTTTCCTTATAGGATACAGTCGACCAATCTCCGAAACATGCAATCTCCTCTTTTGGAAACACCGCTGGTCTGGGTTCTTTGAAGGACGAATTGGCTGCCGGACTTCTTCTTTCTGATTCCGGTGAAGAGGATAGCGCAATGGGCACTGTGAAAACCGAGGTCGAATCTGGATCCGATGCAGTAGGCGTATCAAATCTTGATCCGACCAACGATTTTGATTTCGACGGGGCGGCTCGAGTGGATGAGGATGATTTAGAGGGTCATTTGCAAGCGTCGGTCGCGGCTCAGTTGGTTGCACACGCGAGTGTCCATGACGATGATGTGGTTCAGGTAGGTGTGGTGCACGATGTGGACGAACTGGACGGTGTGGTTGGTGCCGATGGTTGTATTGATCATGGGGTCGCAGACGCCGATGACGATGATGACGTGATTCATCCGGGTGGAGAGTTGTTAGATGATGCCGCTCTGATCGGACTGAGCTCCTCTAGTGTTCCGCCAGGTACCGTTTTCCCTGCTCCTGAACAGGATTCAGAGGATGATTCGTTGTGATTATTGTGTTCTTGTTAACGGTTCAGGTGAGTGTCGATCAGCTTTCAGCTACAATGTACTCTGCAACGTCTTTAATTATCATTCTTCTGCTTTGACAACATTGAATTGTATAACTGATGCCTGGTTAGTCGTTTCTTCCGCACCGCGTTCTCAGCCATTTACCGCACTTTGAACATGCATGTCCCTCTGTTACGCTTCCACAACATCATGATGTAAAATCTGGAATACAGTAATACAACCCAAGGGCCCGCTCCAGGAGTTACTTATCTCATCTGGTTAGTGGCCTTTTGAGAAGAATATCGAATTCAAGGTTTTTACGTGAAAAGTCAGATCCCTACGCCGCAAGGCTCGGTTCCTCATAAATGAACAACGATCGTATACCTCATGTGAAAAGGACATAAGCATCATTGTTTAAGGAAAACTAACAGGTTTTCTTCCACAGCTATAAAGAATTTCGTTTTGTTTAAGCGCACATTTGGTTGGTTTAAATCAAAACTTTCTACGCCTGATACAAACGTACGCATAGTTTGTCATCCATACCTGATGACCACGATTACAACTTGAAATGCTGGAACGCCCACAAAAAATAGCCACCAAGATGGTCAAGTGAATGTATTACCGTAACTCAGTGGAGACATTACATTCATTCGAATTATATTCCGCTCAGTACTGCCTTACTCAAGGAAACTTGGTTATAGTTTATCAACCATTACAGAACTGAACCATACGTTTCATTGCTGTCACCTTAAATCCACCTCAGAGAACATTCTTTTAAGTTGATGATCGGAAAATGTGAACATTGCTGCCTCAAGCAGTTGCAAAAAAGTAAAAATGACCGACTAAATCTTATTCTCCATCGGTTCCGGGACGTGGATGCACAAAGCACCTGTCCGTACGTTCAGGGGCAAAAACGTTCAATCGCATGTGCTGATTATCTGACAGGTTTTGGTACATCACAATATGCCCGGGGAGGAACAGACGCACTGTTGTGTCTCTACCATTTTATCGCACTTTATTTTGACATTGTTCACAGTGAAATTTCCATGTTCATTCGCGGAATGCCTTCGTGTTTTGTTGCATCACATCAAACTTTTTGAAACTCTAATTGACGAAAGGAGAAGAAAAAGTATCACTGTTCCAGTAATGTTGCCGTACGTTTTGGCATCGTGCTAAACTGTCTGCTATCAATGATGTGCTGTCCGATTGGCTAATTTATTTCGTGATATGCTACTGTGAGTTTTTCACATAGATCCGAATCGGTCTTACGCCCGTATCGGCGAGTCGCTCCAACTGTCTGCATCGGGACTAAAGGAATGCGCGGCGATTAATGTCTTAGTCAGATAACGAAGATAAGCCTGTCAGTTGGCTCTCATCTTTCATTAAACCTCTTCGAATATGACTATTTTGGGATGTCGGACATGCTGGTTATGTGCTTAAAAGAGATCTTCCTCTCGTCTTGCTTATAAAGCGTATACTATGTGCAGAAATAATAGAAAAAGAACTACCGAGCTTGAGACAGAATAGGCCCAAGTCAATTAGCTCATCTGGGCTCCACCTCGCTGCAACAGGTGGTCTGGATGTGCTGAGATCTGCCGTTTGAACTGATGACCCTGAAGGAATTGCTTTTGCTTTTACTGATCGCTCATTTGACTAGATGCTTGGAATTGTGCACTTTTTCTTCCTATTTATTCTTTCCAGAATCAGTGCATCAATGCCAGTGGACGTTGGTCGGACGTATTATCCACACACATCCATTCGATCGATCATTGTCCCTCTCTGTATTATGAGTAGCACGTCCTTCGTGTACATATGTAAATAAACCGACAAGGTACCTTATGCCAATGTTCGCTAACTCCATTTCCTATCTGACCGATTTCTTATTTTTGTCCCAAACAGTATTGGCCTTGCCTGTCTATTTGCGTAAATAGTCCTAGGTAAGAAAATAGTTGGTGCAGCGTTATCTTCTTTGCATCGACCGTAGTCGAGCGATGTCGACCGTTGACCCCAAACCCCACCATCTACCTGCTTTTTACTGGTTGGTTGGCGGCTTTGGATTGGTCGTGGACCTTGCCCGGAATAGACCATATACTTTAATATCAATTGAATGAAATTTACAGCACCGATTGTTGATTTGAAACCCTGAGCGCAAAAGCTTAAGAAAAACTGAACAACTATCTTCCCAAATCATGCCAGTACAAAACACTACGTATAACTTAGAACATAAGAGAGGCAAGTGGGGTTGCGAACATGTTTGAAACTAATCACTGGGCTAAACGTTTAAATGACTTCACACGTAGTGATGAGAATAAGGTGGACCAGAGGAGGTTACGTTTTCGCACCTGATTACTTCTGGGTCTTTTGTAATTACCGGTATCACGCATTGGCGAAGCCGTTAGCTAGCTCGCCGAAAAGTGTAAGTGTCGCAAAGTTCAGGAAACTTTTAAATGGTGCAAACGGACCCAAATTTCGAAGACAAGCAGACACCGTTGCCTTAACCTTACACTGCATTCAGTCCATAAAGAGGTATCAACGGCAAGGTACATGATGTGCGCCGATACTGAATAGACGCATGCGTTCTACTGTTTGTCGCAGTCAGTCACCGTTGGTATGGGGGAGCCCCAAAACTAGATACAACTTGTATGAGCCAACCCCCGGGTCATGGTTTAATTTGGCACTCTTTCACCTATAGTTGTCTCAGAATGTCCCACGATGAGGAAACCTATCCGGCGGGATGCCCCGCCCGCGACAACCTAACTGTCGAACCTCGACATTAATTGTCCGATTATCCCTCCAGGCTCATTTCCACATTTGTATTCTCTTTAAACCACCCAACAGCGCCCTCCGAATCGTTACGTGGTCACAGCTAAAGGTCGCATAGTAAAGGCGGGCCCGGAGTTCAAATCTCGGACGGGATGGTAGACATGCACTGGTGAAGAACTCTAATAAGAGCCAAATTCGCGTTTAGTGCTTCCGACTGTATGGTTGACTGGAAAAGCTGAGAAATATGTGTGAAGGCGAAGTCCAAAGAATGCTCAGATCTAATCAATGCGTATCAATTACCCCACGCCGCTACTCATTAGTAACTGTAACTTAAATGTGGAATTCTTCAAATAGTTTTTGGCGCAATGCTGTTATGGCACCTAAATAGAATGACGGTGTTGAGCTCATCAGAAAATAACTATTGATCATTATATCGAGAATGATATTCCCATTTATGACAAATATTTTCAACGCCAATATCGTTTTGCCAGTTGCCTAATTTGCGTCTCAAACCTGAGACTTATTTTATCTTGATTCAGGTTGCAGACCATATTGTTGCCTTCAAATAAGCTCAGTTTGTCATATTTCACCGAAAGCTTATCTGCCACCACAGTGAGATGATCGCTGTCCGTTAATATTCAGCAAACTGGTTAAATCAAGTTATTGTTGGATACAACTCGTAGGATTTAGCAGCCATATGATCACTGTATGCGAGACAATAGAAAACATACTATAGAAAGTAAAAAATAAATGAACAACAGAAACTCAGTGACAGGCCATGGCAATAATTATTCGTGTAGATTGACATCTTGTGCAGATCACAAACAACGAGTTCTGAGTGTGTGGCAAACCTAGCCAAATAAGAAATGTCTGTAGGCCTCAGTGTGTGCCATGATATGTTTATAACGAGAACCATCGGACGGAGAAGCACAGCATCGACTTATGTTAAGATATATGGGAAGAGTGCAGTCAGAGATTTGGAGTGGTGTATCACAAAGTACGGCATCAAGTGTTCAAAAAGGACATGACTACATGCGGTCAGAGACTTGAAAGTGCAAGAGAAGACTTTAAGATCCTTAATAAATCGGAAAAGTTAGCGAGAGAACCATAAAGTCAGTGTAGACAACGCAAACAGCAATCGAACGTATTACGAGATAAGTAGGGATAAAATCAACCTTGTAGAATCAGTTTATATCGTGTTCAGACCAGGTGAGGCAAAGGTTGAATATAATAACTATATATTCCTCGATCCGTGTGGTCATATAAAAAGATGCGCAGAGACAGGTATTTTATTCATCGTCATAATTGACACCCTTGAAAAGGGAGAAAACTGGCAT